CGGCCAACTGTGTCCTGACAGCTTGTGAAACGCATTTCACGAGCAACAAGGCAAAAGAGTAGTGCAGCGGGCGAGTCAGCGACAGCTCTTGACGTATGAAAGAGTAATGTCTGACAGCTCTTGATGTGTTTTCCGACGGCCAAATTCACTACTAAGTGCAGCGATATGCAGCTCATGAAAAAGCACATTTCATGACAAGTGCAGCGAGACCCACAGTAAGAGTATTGGAAGCTGATCTGTCTTTTTCCTCTTTGTTTTTGGGTTTTTCTTTCTAAGACTTGTTATTTTTTTTCTTCTACATGGGGTTTTGTGGTGTGTACTGGCCCCATTTTTGGGCTTGACCAATGATGTCCCGCCCTTAAACTGGACCACGGAATTTTTGTGAGGGACACCAGGCCCATTTCCTGGCATTTTATTTAAAAAAAAAAAAAAAAAGGGAAAAAAAAAAAAAAAGCGAAATGCCAAGGACTGTCAGCCCGTCGCTACACCCCTGTGAAATCTGTGTGTGTGTGTGTGTCTGTGTGTCTGTGTGTGTGTGTGTCTGTGTGTCTGTGTTTGTGGAGTTTGGCAGATCCAGCGGCCTAGCCCGGCTGGTTAGGCATCCAAGTGGCATTCAGGAGGTTGAGGGTTCGAGCCCCATGATCGCCTGCGGTGCACTTAGTGCCAATCCACTGTGATAGTCGGCTTGATACCCCTGATCTGTATTACCTTCTTCCCCCGAGAACAACGTATGGTCATTATAGCTGTATCTAGACTGAAAGATGCCTCAAATACAGCTATAATGACCCTACTTTGTATTGGGGGAAGAAGGTAGTAGGGTCTATGATCAACATGGGACCCTATGTGACTGTGAGAGTGAGTGGGTTGTGTGTGGTGTGTGGGAAAGTGTTGGCCATAGCCACTACTGCTACTCCATGGGGGGTTGGGGGGGAAGTAGATGGCAGGTGCAGCTACTGGCAAAATGCTGGCTCTTTTGGTTAGCTCCCCCCCCCCCGCCCACACACACAACCAGCGGCCCCAACCTACTCCCTCACCACAGCCCTACTGGGGGGGGGGCAACATGCATCCCCTTAATTGTGAGAGTTAGCTATAATTGCAGGGGTCCCCTGTATAGGCTGAGGAGTAATCATGGTAGGTAGATAGTGAAAGATGAAATTCAAATTCAGAGAAGAATATTTCTATTATCCCGTAGTTAAAAAAAAAAAATAAAAAAAAAATAAAGGAGTTTGCCAAGGGTGTGTGTGTGGTCTGTGATCATGTGTGACAGTGTGAGGGCATACTGTGAATGCTATTTCTGGACCGAATCTGAATCTGGCTCTAATTGTGGCTACGTGCCAAATGCATTCCGGAAAGCCCCTAGTACTTAGAGCATACTGACATTAACAAGTTTGATAATGCATCTGCCTGCAATTACTTTTCCACGTGGATGAATCTGACTGCAATCACGTCCAGAGCTTTGTAAAAAACGTCCTAGCGTGAGCATGCCCTCAGTACTATGGTCTGATGAGTGGGTGTATGTGTGTTTCGCGTGTATGTATGCCAAGTGTGTGTTTGCGCCTCTATGTCTGTGTGTGCATGTGAGTATGCGTGTGTGCGTGTGTGTGTATGCACCGAAATGACATGTGCTTGTGTACGTGTGCATGCCGAGAGCCTTTGGGGCCATTAGAACCACCTGCACGTAGGAGCCTGCAGCCTACAACGTTGTCTTTTTCCCCGGAATCCTTTTTTTTTTCCGAAGGAAAAACAGAGGAGCAAACAAAGGCTACCTGAAATCATAAATAGAAATGCAAAGACTACGCGAACGTGAATGTAAATGACTGTGTCTGTCTGTATCTGTGTGTTTGACTTCTTCGTTTTTTCCTTTTCTTTTTTCTGTGCGGGCGAGTGGCAAGTGGCGCTTTCTCTGCACGTGGAGTGTCTTTGTCTGCTAGTCCATAACCTGTAGGCTGTAGGCTGTAGGGCGCATGTGGGGGCACCCCTATTCTGTTGTGTATGTGTGGCTGTGTGGGTGTGTGGGTGTGTAGGTGGATGTGTGTGCTTGTGTGTGTGTGTGTGTGTGTGTGTGTGTGTGTGTGTGTGTGTGTGTGTGTGTGTGTGT